TTTTGATAATTAGAATGGTAACCAATTTTTAATCTAATACTTTTATGTGCGCATATTTAATTCAAATAGCCAACACGTGGTGCAAATTGCAAAATATTTTTAGCCCAAGAGGCGTTAGAACAGAAGGGCTATCAATTTCAAAACGGGATTTTGCGTAGATTCATTTTTCAAACTGTTGCCACCAATATCGCCACGTATTATGTTAAAAGAAACTACATAATGAAGAATCTGCATTAATGCATGAATGTTTCTCGCACTGTAAAAAAAAATACGGTACCTAGAGCCATCGAATTTTGAATAACGTAGTCTTCCAACCGAACATGCCCACTTGGAAGCCCGAATTTTAAATTTCGAATTTGTTATATTATCTGTTTGAAATTTAACTAATTTTTGATTAGCAAACTCAACGACTTCAAAGTGAAAAAGGGAAAACACTGTACGGAAAAAAAAAAAAAAAAAAAAAAAAAAAAAAAAAAAAAAATTAATACCCTGCGCTCGAGGCTATGTGAGCTTAGGGCGCAGCTCGGTCCTCCTTGCAAAACAAAGTTTGCCCTATGACCCTATACGGGCTAGCGCGAGGCTATGTATCGGAAATTCTAAAGGTATGCTATTTTGCTGTTTTTAAATATTTTGTGATATTGCTGATGATATTGCTATTATGTGTTTTAAGTGCGAAGAACATGATATTTAATAAATAAAAGTGACACACGAAACGTTTAAAATCGCCCCTTTGGGAGCAATATAAAATCTGAAAGCTTTCAGAATTTATTTTTAAATATTTCTATTTTGAAATTTAAACATAATCATTGTAAAATGTAGTGGTGGTACTAAAGATGGTATGCGTTAGTCAAAAGGTTGAGAACCGCTGGTATAGAGCATTCAACTTCGTTGCTGGGAACTCAGTTCTTACGTTTTTAAAAGCAGAAAAATCGCATCTCCAGTCAGTAGTCTCCTGGCAGATGTAAACTGCACTACCCTGCGTCCAGTATAGTAGTGTCGGACGTCCTGTAGAGGACTGTCTTGCAGCTTCACCTACGTCTACCATCGCTAGTTCTCTCATTACTTATAAGACAAGATACCGATCCTCCATTATTGTTCATTAGATGATATCTCCCGCCTCGTGGAAAATAAAAGAAATTCAGTCACCTATTTCAATGATATTAATTGGGCAGTTTCAAGCATAAAATCTTTTGAAAATTTAAGTGCTACCATATGCAAATTCCTTTGTTTGGACACAAATTGCCAGTATTGGAAATAGTAATATGTCTTATTCCAAAGGAAATTCTTTTCTATATATAAATTGTTATTTTAAGTAGGTAAATGTTAAGACATTATAAAGATAAGCTGGAATAAAAATTTAGGCAAAATTCTTCCTCATCTTTTGAACTTGTGTCTGAATTACTACTGTCCACAAATAAGTATCTTTCGTTAGAAAGCTCTGAATTCTAAATTAATTAGGAAAATTACTAGTATGCATGTGCATTAAATTCCGAATTCGTATTTGATTTGTTGTATATAGTCAGGGTTCATTTAGTTTAATAGTTCATCTTATTTCTCTTCATTATTGTACACTTCTTGCCTAATTTTTCAACCATTCTAGTTAACTGAATAAGAGAAATAAAACTGAATTCTCGTTTTCTGTCAAACAGGAAGAAAAATAAAAACTACCTCCTCGAAATCTGAGGTAAGAGAACAAAGAGAAAAGGTAAAAAAGGGCAAAAATGAAACAAAAGAATCCACCTTCAATTGTTTCCTTGCGGTTTCGCCCGAAGTTGTTTTCGGCACGCCACTGTCTTCTACTTTTTGCCGCCACGGCTCTAAAAACTTCACGATCGAAAGTGGCTGAAACCATCAGACGCCGGGTGGAAGCTTTAAGGGATGGGCTAAGACTGTCAGTAGAGAAAGAGAAAAATAAAGAACAGAAAGAAAAAAGCTAAAAGAAAACCCTTATGGATATTTTATGTGGATTCTCTCTCTGTCTGTCTGTCTAAAAGTCACGGGAAAAGCACAGGAACTTTTTACTGCAATTTCGTGATCCGTGTTCCAATGATGGCTATGTGCTTGTACGTTTCTGCTGACGGAATATCCACATTTTGTGCTCTTTCAAGAAAGGTAGAAAAGAATGGTAAAGAACAGTTTTGTTCTTTCGATGGATCAGATAGTTCATTTCAAAGAGAATGTAGGTATAAGCTGAAATGCTATTTTCTTGTTTTCTATGTGTAGTTGCACGTCCCAGTATCACTTTTGTATTTTTTAGTTATTTTCAGCAAAATATTCTTTTGCATGTGTAACTTAATCGTTGAAAGCAGAAAAAGTTTGAACTAAAGACAGACCTTATAAAGATGAAACAAGAAGAAGATGTCGTAATATATTGTTATAAACTTAAATAAGAACCATCGTAAATAGTTTGAGGAATAGATTAAAAGAAATTCACTTGACTTCGCTAAGGCACACCTTCTTACTTCTCCATCCCCATGGTTTTTGTTTTGGAAGGCTTTTAGCGGTACGTCTGCAGGTTGTTGAAGCATCGGAGAAGGAATCATAAACATCTTGTATAAATAAAAGGCCTTGATGGTAATAAAATTGAGTTACTGATGCTTATTGCAGGGATAACGTTATTTTAAACGCAACAGAGAACAATTAATATTTTATTTCCTTCTTTGAAGATCTTTGAAGATATTACTGCTGTATAGTCAGAGAAAATGAGGCATAAAACATTGCTCAGCACCCATTTATTGTACTATTCGGATCAAATGCAAAATAAATAATTTAAGCTTCAAATCTGATTTTACTAATCATTAGCCTTAAATGTCAGACCACACACTCAATCAATACTCTTATCATTTAGCGTTAAGGCTTCAATAATAATCAGCGGTTCGGACGTTTTTGTGCTTTAATGTGCTCTCTTGTCAAGGTGTCAAATTTCAACAAGCAGTTCTCATCGAATGATTCGCTAAGTTGTTAAACTATTGATAATTTTATTCAACGTCATGTTCCAGATTTTCGATTACTAAATTCAGCTTGCAAGGCTAAAATGTTTTGGATATATAATTATGATCCCTGCTATGAAAAGTACTTATATCTTGGAGACACCGGTAAGGCCACATTTAGAACAAACGGTTTAGAGTCAAACCTCGTAATATATTGGAATTTCTGCACGACTTGGATTGAAAGCTTCCCTCAATATAAAGGCAACGAAATTAACTCTCTTGCGCATACTGAACAGTATATATTCTCTGCTTAATCTTTTGATACAATTTCATTCATTGTACCACGGATTATTGACTAACTATAAATACTTACAAACGATAGATTCGTTTGATTAAAGTATTTGTAGTCTTAGAAAACGCATGCAAAATTTAAGATTGAATCATGTATTATTTCCATTTACTCTTTAATTATACATTTACGTTATAATTTCATTCTGGGGAAGCTGAGGAATTAATTTTGTATTCCAATTGCTTTTCTGTTCAAGTGATTAACGCAGCTTCTTATTTCGTTTAAAATATCATTTCAACACTTTATTTGCCGAAGATCTCTTCTTCTCGTATTATATTTACTATTATAGGTCATATGCATTACGTTCTAATAGATGTGTATACATATATGTAGTAAGAGACTTTGTTATCGTTGGAACAATGATATGGAAAAGATTAACTTAAAACTATTTATACTAATGATACAAGGGAAGTGATGGTTATTATGCCATAATGGTAGTAATTATTTTTTTCTAGTGACTCACGAATTGAAAAAGACTACTTAAAAGAAATGAAATAGTATGAATGCCTACAAGCTATCGAATAGCGAAAAGAGAAATGATCTATCGAATTTCAATGCGCCGCATCATTTGTTTTTCTTTTCGGGAACAACAAAAAGGTTTATAACCAAGCTAATGTACCAGCTTTACTGTACCAGATCGCCTTCTAATTGTCAAATCATACACACGTCCAAACAAATTGTAAGTCTACAAACTCTTACCATTCTGTGGAGCTTAAGATTTGTAACTACACATTACTTTCTACAAACTGAGAGGTTTTCGTAATAAAAAAAAAGTGTCATTATGATTTTAAGCAAAGTATTTTTTAACAGAGTGTATACATATAATGCAAAGCGTTTAGTCCAATGAATGTATTTTGCCTTTGAAATTATTACCCCAGACAAAGAACTGGCAAATGGCAATTTCATCCGATTATTAAATCCTTGTCACTCAATGAATATATATATATAATGAACTTATCCGCTTTGTAAAATGGTTGCCAGAATTAAAGAAAATATGCTCTATTATTTCCATACAAGTTACGTAGTTTAAATGATTGGAGATAGTTGAATATTTGGAAAAATATCTCACAACGAATTTGAAAAATGATGCTTTTCGAAAGCAGAGCTGTACCATATAATTGCTTGTCTAAATATTATCATGTAATGATATTTTTTATTAATTCTTTTCGAATAAAATTAAGTTAATATTGCCTAGCATTAGGATAAAGTTTTGTTTATGAGTAACAAAAATGTTTTATGAAGTGTACAGACTTTCACAACTGATAACAAAAATTATAAATACATACAAGTAGGCTCATCCACCTTTTTGTTGTTATGTATTTTTAAAAGGGGAATCTCCCTTGCCATTTCTTTTGCTTGCATCTTTCTTTTGCGCTGATGCTTCCATATAATTCCAATGAAATTAATATTGTGAATTTGATTAGATGTTCTAAGATTCTAGTATATTCCAAGCTTCTTCTGTCTGTTTACTATAAATTATTATGTATATTCGATTAGGAATTGGATAATTTACAATATCGATGATTTATAAGTATTATATATATTATAATATATATTTATAAATATTATATAAATATATTATTTTTATATTTGCTGTAAGAAATGTAAGAATTTTTATAACCGAAAATACTTATTTGATATTTTACTTATAGAATTTCATTTGCAAAGTGTGAATTATTTTATTGTATTTGCGAGCAAAGAGTAAATTTTTATTTATTTCTTTTGATTTCAGTCGAGCCATAAAGACCAACCAGGATCTCTTACCCACTACACCTCTAATGTCACTCTTCAAGAATGACTTTTGGGGAACACCACTGACACACAGTGGATCGCACAAGTCCTACAGACCAATGTGCGTCTTGACGTTTCGCTTCAATCACTGGCTTGGTGGCTTTGATCCCTGGGGTTACCACCTTACCAATGTATTCCTGCACGCTCTGGCATCAGCAGCATTTACCAGACTGGCTGCCCTGGTGTTTCTCAAAAGCATTATACCGACTTTAGTAGCAGGTCTGTTGTTTGCTGCACATCCCATACATACTGAAGCTGTGGCAGGTGTCGTTGGCAGGGCTGACGTTGGGGCTTGTCTCTTCTTTCTGCTTTGCATAATGTTTTATTTCAAGTACTGCGAATACAGAAGTTACCCTGAATTGTGCTCACGTAGATGGATTTACCTGTACGCATCTTTAACATGTGCAGCATGTTCTATGCTGACGAAAGAACACGGCGTGACTGTACTTGCTGTATGCGTCATCTATGAGGTGCTCATATATCATAAGATCGCTTTGAAAGAGCTTATTGACATGCCATTCCAGGTAAGCGTTTGAGCTACTTTTTGAACGGAAATAAAAATTACTTAAAACTTGTACCTAATGAGCAGTTATTAAATAATTTCTGATTTTTATATGATTATATTCAAAAATAAATTTTGAAAGCTGTTTCATAATTTCCGTATTTAATATAATATAATCAACGCATACAAAAAATCATAAATTATTTAAAACTGCAGTTCAAAATTTAATAGTAGTATAACCTTACATTTACTCAATTTGTATTATATTTCCTTCACAGCTTATATCACGTAACTACTATTTTTTTGCTGAGTTAAAAAGAAATGATAGGATATTATTAGCTAGATATCTTTATGCTTCTACTAAGATTATAATAATGAACTGTTGAAATTAAAAGTTAAAAATGTTCAGTATAACTGTTTGTAAAATCTTGCACAATAAAGTTATTAAACAAAGGGGCAGTGTGCAAAAAAGCAAGCATTGCCAAAGCTAATCATGAACTCATACGTGTTTGGAAATGCTTTAATGATTAAAATCATCAGACCACTATTCAGAGATATTACTTATTTTCATGTACAGCTGGCGGCTGTTTGCTACTTTATGTACGCCTCAGATGTGAATTTATGGACAAATATCGAGGGAACCTACTATCGTGCAGCGTTGAGGAAATCTATTATTGATGACTTTGATAGAGGTTTGCACATTATTAGTTATTCCTTTTCGAGTAAAATAAAGATAGAATGAGCTCATATAGAGTGTTACATGGCATAATTTGCATTATACATATAAGCAGTATTATGATAGTATTCTTGCATAAGAAAAGTAAGTTTGGCTAAAAGAATTAAAACAGTTACAATGATATCGAATATACGATTTCTCGAACGCCACACGAGTAGTTTTGCTTGAGGGAAACGATCAACCTGATTTTAATACCTTCCAATGTAAACAATAAAAATAATTAAATCTATTTGATTAGGCATTTTGGCCTCTTTTCTGAGTAATTTGCGTTTGAATAAACGTAAAAATAGAGCCCTGTGTTTATTTTCTCTATTATGTAGTCATATTTTTTTCTCTTTTTATACACATGCTTTCTGTTTCTTATTTACTATTCGGGTACTTAAGATAGACGAGGTACTTAAGATTTCATGCACAATGACAGTTCATTATCAATAATATAAGAAACGTTAAATCTGAAATAATAAAGTGTAGGAAGTAACATTCAAAAGAAGATATTTTCCTTACCTTTGTACAGATTTGTTTATTCTAAGTCTAAAATACTTAAATATATATTGCCTCGTATATTGAATAAAATACGTTTATTTTTATACCTGTGCAAAGAATAAAATAATTAGTTACGTAATATTTTCCCCTTGTGAAATAGATATTAATTGGCTTTAATTATGAGAGATTCAGTGCTATATTAGATTATTAGATATGTATTCAAAATTTGAACTTTCACAAAAGGGACAATTCATAACATACTTGATGTGCATAAAATATTATTAAGATAAAATATATGAATTCTTAATAAAATACATGTTCGTTAAATAAATCTTGAAATATTTCTCTTTTCATTAACCAATAAAACCTAGTCATATTGGCTTGAGTTGGTCACTGCTTTCGATCAAATCAATGTTTGTATGCTATAAGTTAACGGTTATGAATTAGTGTGATGATTAGAGTCTACTAGCTATTCTTCCTTGGTTGCTGACGCTTGTCACCATGGTAACCAACATTCTTAGATGTCAGGCTTGGAGAGCCAAATGACACGACAAGCACATAATGTTATAACGGTGGTTATTACAAGAAGTATAAATCATTAAGTTAGAAGCCTCGAGAAATATAAAAGAATTTGGTAAACCAAGAAAGGCTTGATTTTTGTTGTTTGACTTCTGAATCAGTAAACCAAGAAAGGACTAAAAAAGTCGCCTCAACAATATAAGTGAGCAGCGATTTTCAAAACAAGTTTTACTCGTCGAATGATGCCAAGTGGCTGGAAGTTAAATACATCGTCAATTTTCAAATTTTTTAAAATACTGGAAGAAATTATTACTATGCAGGGTATATTATAGTTCGCATATTTAACCAAAGTACTCTTTTTTTTTTGCCAGATTTTAACGCAACCTTAGACTTCTAATATTATTGTTGCCCAAGTCGGAGAAGTAGTCTTGCAGCTCACTTTCTCAAGAACGTGTTATCAAGTTCAGATAATGCAGAATATTTAAATTATGCAAATCAAGCTATGTAAATGTCTTGTATTAAATTGCATGTATAAATTTTATAATTAAATACCATAATTATTGATTCTGATTATTTTTATTATTATCCTTTTAAACTGAAGAACTTCTATTTAGCATGCTATTTTTCTTTTATTCGATAGTAACAGGATATGTATCCTGAAAGTCTCAAAAAAAAAATTTAATGCTGCAGAAGTAAAGTTATAAAATGCTGAAAAAGGGGTTTAATGGTATTAAAATTAAAACGATTTTCGATCATTTATATGAAACAGCAATTATTTAGTCATAAATTAGTAACGTGCTTTTAAAAATGAACCCCAGTATCTTCTAAGATTGTCATAATTTCAATATACCAAAAGATTAGTTACTATCTTTGTTTTTTATTTGATTAATATTAAAATACGTGACTTAAGAAGGATCGTTTTCACGTGCAGGCTGCAGTTATTGGAAAAGGAGTTCATACAGTTGTTATATTAATAAAAAATGTAGGCTAATAACACTTTGAAATGAAAATCAAATCTTTTTGCATAAGCCTAAATGAAGGATGTGATCAATGTTATTTAAAAGAATTTATTACCGTACTTCTTAGGGTATTCTTCAGTTTATTTTTAACTAATTTTACCGTCCGAAAATCAAGAGGGAAAAATTATGCGAGAAACTTCCGAAGAGTGCGGTTGCAGTAAGAACATAATAAAAGATACGTAGTCTTGTATAAACTACTGGTAACCATCATAATACTATTTCTTTAAAATAAATCTACATTACCATAAGAATACACAGTAATATTAACATTTCAATATCTAATTGACATTGAGCCGATATTTGACGGTAACTGAGCAGAGGCGCGACGTGTCCAGCTCAATTACTTTGCAAAACCAGAGCACCTCACGTGAATGAGTCTCTGACTCCTAAGAGGGACATCGGAAACATTAAGCAAAGGGGGCCGGTTTTGAAACATCGAGCTCGGTAGCAGTAAGGTAAGGATACAATCAGCTGGAAGCTACATAATAAAAGGTGAAATCATATATTTCGCTAATTTGTGAATTGTTAGAACACCTGACACACCCTGGTAGCTTAACGAAGAATCTATAAAATAACTTTCAGGTAATAAATGCAAGGGAAAATAAAATAGATGTAATGGTAATACAAAATTGCAAATACGAAATAAACATAAAATAATCAAGTGGATTCAATTTACCAATGAAGTGCCCTCAGAGGAAAAAGTTAAGTACAATAGAAGAAGGAGAAAATTATATGAATATTTTCAAAATTTTCAGAACCTAGCGCTAAACAGCTTGGGGAAAAAATTACGGAGGAAATGCAGTGTTATTGAATTTTTCAGTTTTCAGAATATAATTATGAATCTGTAATTTTGAAAATACTTTATGTGTTCTATAAGATTAGGAGTTTAAATAAACCATTTCATGTAATATTTACTAGAATTTTAAAAGAATTTACTTTAATCAGAATAACTACCCTCAATGAAAGAGCTTCGCATAATATTATTTTTAACATGAAATTTTTTTTCCGAAATGTTTTTATTGGAAACTAACTTTTGTTTGAATTTGGAACTTTTCGCTCACATTTATTACATCAATCAAAAAACATGATTCTTAAGGCTTAAGGTTGTATCACCGCATGAAAATTTAGTTACACGTGAGATTTTATTTAAAAGGCATTGAATGTATTTTTCCCTCTCTTTTATATTCAAAGTCAAATAAATGCCGGTCAAAATGTCATTTATTTTCATCTAAAACTTCAGCATTCGGTAGAGTAAGGAAAGCTAGTGATTAGATGACTAAACTAAGTTTTCTTGATAATTGCAAATGCCAAAATATTTCTTAATTACTTGCAGAAAAACGATTAACTGAACAGCAATAAAGTACAGAGAAGTACTTCAAGCAGGTCTTAAGACGATGTCATTATGCCTCAGAGCAAAGTCTTATTTGTATATACCAAAGTAACATTTTCTGAAGCGGCTTAATAGCATTTGTCAGATTCTGAAATATCATTAGTTTTCAGCCTCAGGTTGCCGACACTACAAATGCCATTTAACCTTTTAAAGAGTTGTGAAAATACTTCTGAAGAAGTTTCTTTGCTTTCCTTTTTAGATGTTCCTTCACGTAATACGGTACAAAAGATACATCACTTGATTTGGTACTGCAGTTTTTAGATTCTTTACAAATCAAAGTCTTTGATATGAAAGCGTTTTGTGTTATATATAATTTGATGAGGATGGAAACGATGGTTCAATTAAGTAAATTGCATAAAAGAGACTAAGCCATCATCTCTATTTAATTATAACATTATTTGATTTAAATTTTATTTTCTTAATTTAATTGAATGTTTTTGTCCAGACGTTTAAAAATAACAGCATTTGTCTCTCACGTAATAATGTTTGCAAAATTTGCAAGTTATTCTTAAATTCATTTTTTCTCTGTTTTGCATTTTTATTTTTATAGTCACATACAGAACTAGCTTGACTATTCAGTTGAATATTGCTTTCAATTAGTTTAGCTGTTAGAAGTGCACATTTATAAATCAAGATATATAAATTGTGTAAACAAATTATCTTCTTTTTTTACAGAAACGGTTCCAGAGTTTGCGAGAGGGACTGCTGCATTTGGCAGGTACTGGAATCACCTTACTTGGACTGAGACTGCATCTTATGGGTAATAAGCCTCCTGATTTCGCACCAGCCGACAATCCTGCAGCAGACAGTGACAGTCTGTTGACCAGGACATTAACATTCTTGTACCTCCCTGTTTTCAACTTCTGGTTACTGCTGTGTCCTCGATGGTTGAGCTTTGATTGGTCAATGGAAGCGATTCCTCTAATAAAATCTCCTTTAGATATTCGCAATATTGCCAGCATTGCATTTTACGGCACTTTGTTAACTTACGCATATTGGCTGATTAAATCGTACAATAGGCGGTCTACTAACAGCAGTGCCTTCTACGTATCAGCTTCGAATGTCCCGAACTCGCACATTAACCATGCATCTTCGTCGAACTCTGTGGCAACTGCAAATGGAAATGGAGCTGGCCAGCTGTGCCCATGTGTTGACTTCACTCAGAGACTCGCCTTATCTTTTTCATCAAATCCCTCTCATAAATCAAGCAGGAAACCAGCAGGAAACAACTCAGCAAACAACAATTCAGTATATGCAAATGGGCATCATCGAGTTTCGAACGGCAATGGGCACTGTCACAATGGATCCAACTCTTCGTACCACAACGGCACTGCAGCCTCAATGTATAATGATGGTACTTCTGATAATTTCAGGTCACATACATACGCTCCACCAACTAGGTCAGCTTTCATTGGCCCAGCTGATATTGTGACATTTGCACTGGCACTGCTTGTTCTTCCTTTCATTCCTGCCACGAATCTATTTTTCTACGTGGGCTTTGTAGTAGCTGAAAGAGTTCTTTATATCCCTAGTATGGGATTCTGCTTACTCGTGGCTTTGGGAGTAGATCTTTTATACAGAAGACAAGAATCATACTTTAGGAAGCTATTAGTGCTAGCTGCCGTATTTGTTCTCATGGTAGTCATGTCAACGAGAACTGTCATAAGAAATGGCGACTGGATGAGCGAAGAAAATCTTTACAGATCTGGTATATCAGTTAATCCTCCAAAAGGTATAGTTTTCAAATATCTTTTATTCTTCTTATTTAATATGTCTTTATTTATTGCCTTACTAGGATTATTTACTGTATAAAAGTTAAATTTGTTGTCTGATTGATTGAACTGATTTAGCCTACCGTAAACGGATTGCCTTAGAAATCCAAAATTTAATTCATTATATTTTGAAATTGTAATCTAGAACTCTTGTGAAAATGTCTTTCATATTAAGAAATACTAAACGTAATTAATGTAACTTTGCGACGAAGGCTGTAATGCAATTTTATTTTATATAGATTTCATTAATGTTAGCGGAGATTTGTTTTATATCTGTTCAAACTGAAACTAATAAAATCGTAAACAACTGAGTTCTGATTTACAAAGCAAGAAATTTCTGACGTTTAAAAACTTAGTAATTAAAGAACGAATGGTTATGCATGACACATAAGATTATTATTAAAACATATACCGTGTGAAATGTAATTAGCTCATTAAGAGTTTTGTGAAAGAAAGCATTAATCTGTTTAATTGTTTTTTCAATAATAGTTTTCATAGATATTCTTTATCAGATTCACTTCTATTAGGTTTTTGTGTATGTTTCGGTACTTTTCCAAGTGTATCTTTAAATCTGGTTCCTCCAAATTTTTCAACTATTTATTCGAATTGTGAAATTCAGGCCTTAATTTTACTCCTTAATCTCTACTCTTGCTCTGGTTGGCATTCCATTGTTTGGAGTGAGTCACCGCTGTCACAGAATTTTATTAAAATTTATAAAAAGCAGCTCAAGTAAGTAAAACAATAATGAAGTGCTATCTTAATTCTCTCAATTAACATGCTTCTGCAAGAATTGATGCGATTTCAATAAATCAATAATAAATAAAAATACGAGGACATTTATTCGAAATTTTAACTGATTTCTCGTATTTAAAAGAAAATCTTCGAAAATAATTTGGACAAAATAATTTTTCGTAGCATGTTCATAAAAATATCATTTCTAATACTTTTGATGATTACATTTACCGTATAAATTATATTAAATACATGCATTTGAGAATGATTATTTAGTTAAAATGTTTGGAAATTTTAGGAATTAAAATATAATGCTAGCTCATCTAAATCGCTAAAGCACGTTTAATGTGGATTTTTAAGCTTGGTGATTAAAATGTTGGCGTTTTCTTTTTAGTGGCAATTTTGTTTTTTACTTTGCCATTACTGGCCGAGCTTATAAAACCGCACAGTACTCATGTTGGCCCGTGTTTAAACCTCATTTTCATTGTTTTCTTAATGGGAAACGTGACTACAAGTCTAAAACTTTTGCCACTTATCCCTATCTTAGGTTCTTTGACTAATGGAGTTCCTACGATACAAAATTTAGTGCAGTTCTATTATTGCATTTGTAAATATTCGATAAAACTTAGAGGGAACGTTTTTATAGACATATATAAAAGAAAATTAGTACTATTTATTATTTTAGCTGTTTGCATAAAGATATTTCTAGAAAGCATTAAATCTGAATATCCTGTCATCTACAGCTTATTGAAGAAGATTCTATTAGGCATGAAAGTCATATTTTGTGGTTCGTTAAGCAAATTTCTGGCCAGAGAACAAAGGTAATTGCTAGACCTTATACTGAACATCTGCTCTTGACGTCTTTCGGAATCAGCTGTTTGAAACCATCATGAGGAACTGTTCCGTTTGCCTTGTTGGGGGACCTGATGCATAAGAACCAGGTGGTTAGTTTATTTCCGCTTTATCGGAGGGGGTAATGGTTATTGCCTGGGCAAAAGAAATGTATTACGTATTGGAATTTAAAAAAATTATTGTATTGTGGGAAGTATAACCGAAATGTGTTCCATGCTTTCTCAAGAATATCACAAAAATATAATATTAAAGAAAAAGTAGGAAATAAATTTTGCTGTGGTGCTTATCTTTAAAATGCGTTTTTAGATTAACATCAGTTCTTATTAAAAATATATCAACTAATAACGTTATACATTTTTGTCAATGCATAACTATGAAGAATTCATAAAAGGAGAATTTGGTGGTATAATACAAGAAATAAATATTAAGAAAAATTTTATGCATATACGTATTTAATGCAAATGCAACAGAATACAATGAGTTCCTATGAACAATAAGAAAGAATGGGTAATACAAATGAAAATATGTAAATGAGTCAAACATTATTAGGATGAAATCACAAATGTAATGGTGACATAATGACTTTAATTTATGCTTATTTCCATAAAATTGATCTCTTTTTATAATTAGCATACTGCAGGAATGTGCCAAATAAAAATAAATTTTGATAATTATGTAAACATGAAACGTTCTTAATTGCTTATATAATTAGATAATCCACAGAAATCAGGTTTCTTTTTTGTGCACAAAAAGGGAAAAGGTGACATTTACATCTTTAAAAATTACAGTAAATTTTGGTGCCAGTTTACAACTTTACAACTTGCATTAAATTTTGACTTGAAAATATTTATTTATTTTCATGGAACTAAGTAAAAGAATATGATTTTCAGTTAGCTGAAATTCAAAGCATGGTTTTAAATGATGAAACACTATAATCCACTTCAATTATTATGTTGAGCCAAGCATAAGCTTCCAATGTAGATCGCAAACCTCTTATGAAATATTTTCCTCTCTTAGTTGCAAATTTTTAAAATCATCCGTTCTAAAATTACACAAAGTATCTATAAATGTTCATTTCCGGAATTTCTAAGTCATAAAGTTTCACATTTGATAATTACGAATTCGAGGCATTATTCTCGGAGTATTGCAGCGAATGCTCTATGCTGCAACTCAAAATCCTTTACGGGTAGCTTTGTGCAGCCTTTCTAATAACTGACATGACTCAGTCACGCAAGTAAAATTCGATATACAGTGTAGGGTCTGAAGTGCTAAGGGCAACTTCGGTCTGAAGCAATGATGCATGAAGAATTAGAAATTGCAGTTCACACAATCTAAATATTCAACAGCTGCTTGTAATGAATTTCACTTGATATTGGGCTGATGTATATTCTATTCAGTGTTAGCAGAAATTGTGATTTTAGCGTTAGACTAAAAAAGCATTCTAAACATTATTAGAAATTTGATGAATGATTCGTTAAATAAACGTTGGAATTTTAAATAATTCCTACATGTTTTATATTATGTTTTAATCTTAAAAAAATGAATCTGAGTACAAGAAAATTCTGAAATCTGGAAAATCACGTTTAGGTAAGAACCTCTTTTTTGGCTTTACGAAAGCATGGAATACCTGTTAAATGTTTTCATAGATGAAACCAGCGTGAAGCGAAGAAGCAAGTGCCGTCATTAGACAAAATCTTTTCCAGTGTTCCTAGATCTAGGAACTAACTGTTTAGCCAATTCGAACAGCGTTTAAAACCTAAAATAATGTCATAAAAACTATATGATAACCATATTATCCATATGAATTGAAATCACTTATGCGCTCGGTTGTTTTACCTCCCAAAATAAAGCATGCTGAAAGATTCAATAGGGCAGCCGCAACGAAGGTGCGTTGGTTTGACTCATTGAAGTTTTGATGGTGGGATATGCAGGGACAGGTGCTGTGACACTTGCGGACGTCACAAATGAATGCATAGAATTTTATAATAGTGTTAATTAATAAGGAACAATACAGATGCAAATTACAGATAGTCTAAAAGTTTCAAAAGTTTCAATATCCGGTAATAACATGTTTGAAGGTGTTACTAAACAGCAACGGTTATTGTCCCTGACTATCATGCAAATGAGGCACACAAAGAACCACGTATTAGATATGAACCCGCTGTGCATTTGTTTTAATCAGATAGGTACGTAGTTTACGCATTAAAAAAGAAAAATCCATAAAAATAAAAAGTGTAAAATTAAAACTTCGTATTTACCCGAAAATAAACAAATTAATATCAATTAATTGTACTTTTTAAAAGTACAAATCATTGCATTTTGAGCGTATTGTAATCAAATAAATTACTGCAATAATATGAAAAAGGAAATTAGTTGAAAGTTAATATCGTTCCAGTCTTTCTGGCTTGTCCGATCAGTTCTTGCCTTAAATCCCTAACTACGGCGTTATAGATACTAAAATATCTTTTAAGGGGACTGATACACCTTAAACCCCTCATGATCTTCGAATATGTGACTGTTGCAAGGATTGGGATAACTTACTTATTTTAAAAGCAATCACTTTTAACTTTTTACAGCTGACTACATAATATAGCTGCTTTCTGAAATAGTAATTAGAAAGTTTGTGTTGCCGCAAATATTTTTGTAATTTAATCCGCTTTGTGACAAAAGGTTTCGTTATGGTTCCACCTTGCGCGCACAGTTTAAAACATTCTTTTGCATAATTTAATTCCATATTTAATATATAGCTTTTATAACGTTTGGAAACTACTGTGAACCAAAAATTCTAAGAATTTCATGTTCAAATTTTCTTTTATTTGGAGTTGAGTTTTATAAAATGTATTTTATTAAAAAAATCTGTAATGTTTTCGTCCATACATTTTTTTAACATTAAAATATTCATCAGATTTTTGTTTCAGTTAGAAAATAGTGTCCATATAAAGAATTCCACCAAATTTCAAGTATGTACCATTAGGCATTTTTATCATGCGCGCAAGGTGGAAACATAACGAAAAATTTTGCCACAAAGCTGATTAAATTACAAAAATATTTGTGGCAACACAAACTTTCTGGTTACTAGTTCCCAAAGCAACTATGTTATGTAATCAGCTGTAGAATGTTGGAAGTAGTTGCTTTTAAAATAAATAAAATATCCCAATTCTTACAACAGTCACATATTCGAAGATCATAAAGGGTTTAAGGTGCATGAGCCCCCTTAATGGAAAGTTCCGTCCGTCACTTCAGTTGAAGAGCTCAGAATTACTCAGTAGAGTGTGTTCTGCCTTCGGGCCACGTCGCTGCTCTACATCTATCTCCCTACATACTGCCGTAGACTTACGTGCCTGTTAGTCTTTGGCGGTGAGGTTTAATTACAAAC